GCCCCAGCTCCCCTGCCTGGCGGCTGTGCGCCCCGGGGCGGCCGCCTGGGCTCCCCGCCCGCCCCTCCGGCTGTCAGCTGCGGGCGCGGCAGCTGCGGCTCTGGAGGGCAAATATTTACAGCTCGCTGCGGCCCGAAGGCCTGGGGCGCCCGGAGCCCAGCTTCTCCCCAGTTCTCCGCGGGCGTCCGGACCCCCGGCCACGGGGAGCCCCGTTTGTACCCCGTCCTGCCCCCTGGGGCTCGGGGCTCAGACACTCCGGACAGCGGGCTTTGCGGTTGCCGGGAGAGGAGGACGCTGCTCAGGATCCGGTCCGCCTCCGGGCCGCAGAGCATGGTCCCGGGCCGGGCCCTGGGCGCCCTGGACATGGCGCCCCGGCCCTGCGTAGATGCCCGCCGGCGGGGCCCCGCTCTGGCCAGGGCCAGGCCCCAGCCGCAGCTCCAGCCGACATCCGGGCCCGGGCGGGCGCAGTCAGCCCCGGCCACCTGCCCGTCCACTGCCTGTGCCACCGGCCGTCCAGGAGCGACGGTTTCTGCCCCGGCGTCCCCGCCGAGGGGCAGCGGCTGTCCTCCAGCCCGAGGCCTGGTCCAGCCCCGGCGTCCCTGCCCGGGGTGACAGCTGAGCCGGACGGCTGCCGTGCCCCAGCCTTGCAGCATGGACCCGAGTGACCGGAGGGGCCGACCGTCCTCGGGCCGCACCGCGGCCTCCCTGTCGGGGTGCGGGGACAGCCCGTCCTGCCCCGTGCTGTCCACACAGAGACCGAGCTTCCCGTGGGCGGCGGACTGCGCAGGCCGGAACTGTGGGTGCTGGTGCAGGCCAGATCTGCCCCCCTGGGGCCCACGCTGGCGCCCCACCCCGCCCCAGACTCGGGGTCCACGCTGGCGCCCTGGCTCTGGCGAGTGTGCCGGGCTCACGCCTGTGTCCAGCCGGCCAGCCCCTCCTGCTCAGGAGCTATGTCCCCGCATGAGGCCATGGGTGTCCCCGCTTGGACCCGAGGCAACGTGGCACCCTCAGTGCCCCCTGGGCCGCTGCCCCTTCTCTGCTCTCGCCTGGGCCGGCCGGGAGGGCGCTGAGGCCCCCTGGCCCTGGGCCGGCAGCCTGGGCTGGGCCGTCCTCCCTCTGGCCGGGGCCCTGGTGGCTCTGGAGCTTCCCCGGGCTGGGCGGCCGCCCTGGTCTGCCCCGGTCAAGGTGGCTGAGCCAGTCCGCTGGCTGCTGTGGGCCCCGCGGCCGCCGTGAGGGGCGAGGCGGCCCCCGTCCCAGGGCTGCATCTGAGCGTCCGGGGCACTGTGGCCCCCGCTGCCCTGCTGTGGGCTGGACGTGCCCAGCACGGGCTCAGGTCCTGCCCGTCGTTGACGGCTGGCCAGGGCTTCTCCGTGGCCGGTCAGCAACCTTGGCCTGAGTGTGGGGCTCTTGTCCCCCAACCCTGCTGGCCTGGGGAGCCCCGGGCTGTGCCTCTGCCATCGCGGGGGGCAGCAGCCCCTATCCACGTGGTGGCCACCGGGAGCTGCGCTATGTGTGGACAGACACCGTGCCCGTCCGTGTCCAGCGGCCCAGGGCCTTGGCTCGGATGCCGCGGCCCCTCAGCCCGGGCCTGGTCCAGGCGGACACCCCACGGCGCTGGCCGTGCCCGGCCCCCGGGCTGCCCACGGGACCAGTGCCATCCTGCGGTCTCCGGGGGCAGAGCCCAGGCCCTGGCCCTCCAACGTGAGCCAGAGGCCACCGCCCCTACCCGTGGACGGCCGCCCCAGGGCCAGGTGAGGGCTCCCTTTCGCAGTGGCGGGTGGCCACTTTGGAGTGTGGCCAGCAGCGTCCTCAGGGCGGGGCCCCTCTGGCGGGCTGGTGGGTCAGGAGGGCAACGCGGCTTGACCAGTGTCCAGTTGTGGCGTCTCACCTGGCATTGCATCTCCCTGGTGTGGCCAGCCCCACGGGGCCCCAGGCGGCAGCTCTCAGCGGAGGGCTGTGTGGCCTCTCACTGCTGTCCGTCTGTCCATCCGCCTGTCCCCCGAGGCTGGGGGGCCCTCAGGCCTGCAGGGCAACTCTGGTGTGGGAGCTGGTCAGCTCTGGGCCCCGCTGGGCCGTGGCTCCTGGGTGGGGCTGGGTCGCAGGTCAGCAGCAGCCTCGGCCCCTGGACGGCCAGGCCTCCGGCTGCCCCACTGGCCGCTCCCTGGGTCTCCATGACAGGGGCCGGCACTCACATGCGGCCAGACCCCGCCTGCCGGGCCCTTCACAGGTCAGCAGCTGCCCGCTCAGCCCGGGGCAGTTCCCACATCCCTGGCGGCTTTTCACCCTGTGCATCTGGGCCCCAGCATCCAGCTGGCCATGCCGGTGTCCACAGCTCACCGGTCAGGACAGCGGCTGCCACTGGCACCCAGAGGCCCAGCTGGCGCCCCCGGTCAGCATCCCCAGAGGAGGCCCCAGTGGTCAGCTGCATTCGCGGCCCGTGTGGCCCCTGGAGTGGGCCTCCCACCACCGTCCGGTGGCTAACGCGTCCCCTCATTCGCCCGCAGACGGAGGACACCCGGAGCCTGACGCTTGTCCTGCAGCGTGACGCCGGCGCCCTGGGCTTCCACATCATCGGCGGCCGGCCCTGTGAGGTGAGTGGCCAGTGCCCCCCCCCGCCGGCCCGGTGCCCCGTGCTGTCATCCCGCCCCACGCTGCCCGGGAGCGTCTGGCCACTGACCAGACCCCCGCTGCCGCCATGTCCTTGCCTATGAGCCTGGAAGGGAACAGCTGAGGGGAAATAACGTCGCTCATGTGGACAGCTCGGGCTGGCTGGGGCGTCGAGGCCACGGCCGTCCGTGGGGACGTCACGTGGCGAGTGGGCACTCGCGGATCAAGGGGACAGCAGGACGACAACGGGGGTGCTGGTCCCGGGCAGCAGGCGGGGCAGCACTGGCAGAGCGGGCTGTCCCTGGTAGCCTGGGTCCACCTGGCCACTCCCCCGCGGGCAAGGGCTCATGCTGCAGACAGGCAGGTGGGGGCGGGGCCCGGCGCTGGGGGCGGGGCCGGACTGGGGATGGGCGGGGGTCCGTTGCTGGGGGCGGGGCTGCACCGGGGATGGGCGGGGTCCGTTGCTGGGGGCGGGGCCCGGGTCCTGAGGCCGCGCCCTGCGCTCCTTGGCCCCAGCCAGGCTCCCCACTCACTAGGAGAGTTGGGGGGGGGTTCGCAGGCCGGCGGCCCTGAGCGGGCGGCACACGGGGCAGGCAGAGGCCGGTCCCCGTTCCTGCTGCTGACCCCACGGCCTCCCAGCCGGCCTGGGGGCCGTTGTTCAGGGTGGACAGCGAGAAGGGCTGAGCCTGCGGGCGCAGCCTGAGCCTGGGGAGCCCCACCCCGCTCCGAGTCAACAAGTGAGGCAGCTATACTGTCCCCGGGGCGGGGGCCTCGCGTTCACACTGCGTTGTTTTAACCCGAAGGACAACCAAGATGGACCATCCGGCGAAGGCATTTTCGTTTCCCGCGTGGCGGACGGCGGGCCGGCGGCCAGGGACGGGGGCCTGCAGGTCCATGACCGCATCGTGGAGGTAAGTGGGGCCCAGGCCGCGCTGCCTGCGGCACCCTCATCCTGCAGGCCACGTGTCTGGCTCCGGCCCTCAGCTCGGCGCCGAGGCCGGTCACCCAGATAGCGCCGTGGGCATCCGAAACGCGGCGAGGGGCCAGGCGCCCCTGGCCGGTGGTCGCGGAGACAGGAGGAAAGCCGTGGCTGCCCGCTGCTGGGCCTGGGTGCGCATGGACTGGGCGCTGGACCTGTGTGCCCAGCGGGTGCCCGCCTGTCCAGCCCGCGCCCTGCAGACCGGCCCCCGCGTTGTGGGGTCACACCACGGTGCCCCGCGCGCTTAAGATGCGAGTCCCAGACGTGCGCCCGTGCGGGCCTTGGGGCTGCTGCCCGCGTGACCCCTGGGCCTTAGCCCTGTGTCGCCGCTTCAGGAGCCTGAAAGCCTGACTGCACCGTGGCTGGAAGGGGCGTGGCCTGAAGCTGGGGGCGTGGCCCGGGCCTGGGGCGTGGTCACTGGCCGGAAGGGGTGTGGTCTGTGCTCGGAAAGGTGTGGCCTGTGGCCGGGAGGGTATGGTCTGTGGCCAGAAGGGGCGTGGCCTGTGTGCGGGGCGGTTGTCACAGGAGAGCAGGCGGTGCGGCCGCCTGCAAGTGTCGTGTGGGGGCTGCGCCGGGAAGTGGCCTCGTGGGACTGGCAGGCTCTGGCCGCACCCCGCGTAGAGACTGGCAGGCCTGGCCCCCGGCGGATTGGGGCACAGCAGGTCCCATCCAGCTGCTTATCCCCGGGCATTACTGCTGCCACCCGCAGAACCCCCCCACGGAGCCCCCCACCGGCGCCTGCCGTTGTTCCCTGTGGGCCCGGCCTGGCCAGCGCAGAGGCCACAACGCAGCGGCCAGCCTCGCCCAGGCCCGTGCGGGTGCCCCGCCGGGTGCCACCATCGCCTTCCGGAGCAGGCCTTGCCGCCGGGGTCAGCGGGGTCGCTCGGCCGCACGCCTGGCCCATCGGGGTGGCCACCGGCTGGGAGCCATTGTGGACACTGTCCCTCAGGCCTCAGCTGCTGTGGACAGGAGAGCGGCCCAAGTTCCCACATGAGTCCGGTGGTGCTGCTGCTGGACCGGCAGCCCCACGGAGCAGGGGTCATTGTCCAGCCACAGCAGCGAGCCCCTCCTCCCGTGCCCCTCTGGGGCCCGTGCCTGTCACCGTGAGCCCCAGGCTGCAGGTGCCCTGGCCGCTGGTGCAGCGTCGTGCTCCTGGCTTTGGCCGCCTGATGGCCACCCCAAGGGGCCGAACGCTGTCGGCCAGCGCCAGCGGCTGGGAGGCGGCAGTGACCGTGGAGCCCACGTGGCCCCGCAGCAGCGCCCGGCTCGGTCTTGCGGGAGCAGGGGCGGGAGGGCTCGGGGTGCACGTGGCCTCAGTACCCCGTGGGGCCTAGGGGTCGGGCAGCGTCACCGCGCCAGGGTGGGGGAGGGGCTCGCGGGGGGCAGCAGGCGCCTACGCCCCCCAGAACGTGCACCCCAATACCGCGGGTGGGCGGCGCCTTTATCTTCTTGAGTTAAAATTCAAGTCTAAATTCAGAGGCGAGTCCTCTCCTTTCCCTGGCACCGGGTGGGCTGCGGCTGTGCCTCCGCGGTCAGCCCTGCTTGGCGGCCGTGACCCCGCAGCCTGTGGGGCCTGGCGAGGCCGAGGCCGACGGCGTCCCCCAAGCTGGCAGCCCCCTGCCCTGTGGCGCGCAGCTGAGCACGAGCAGGGGGGCACGAGGCTGTTTGCTGCGCTGGACACAGCGTCCTGTTCTCGCACCAGCAACCGGGGACTCCGACTTCTGGGGAGGCTCACTGGGCCCCCAGGCAGGAGGGAGGGGCCTCGGGCGGCCGGACCACTCGGCCCAGAGGCCACGCTGCCCACCCAGCCACGGCGCCCAGGGAGGTAACACGGGGCCGGCCGGAGGCTCTTCCCCCAGTGAGTCCCGAAGCCGGTGCGGCCATTCCTGCCACAGCCACACCACCAAGGCCACGCGGTCTTCGTGGCTTCTGTCACAGCCCATCCACCCTACGGCTTCCAGAGTTGGCAGCTGCAGCGTCCAGGAGAGAAGTGGGCCCGGTGTGCGTCGCCCAGTCAGCTGACTCGCGGAGACCAGCAGGCCCCCTGGACCCCACCC